TGAAAAGAATCTACCACACAAACAGTCATCTAATTTGGAAAATTGTTAAACATAGACTGTATATATTATTATGTATTTAAATTATTCAAATCAATAAATAGTAATCTGTTGGTGCTGCTAGATTTCTTCGTCCAGTCATTTTTTCTTGTATCAGCTCATAAGAGCTAATGTTGGTATCCAACGTACATTATAGCCTAGGTAACTTTTATATTTCAAACAATATATTTTGCTATACAAATCGAATATAAATCGCCTTTTTCCCCAGTTTGTTGATAATGATGATAATCTAGAAATTTGAAGCGAGTTCTCGTATATTTTTTCGTGCCAAATTGAGAGTTTTGAAAATGAAAGCTGACGTATGTTTTAAAAAAGCGTAGAGTAGAGATGCAAATGTAATACTCATTGTGTCAATTTAAAATTACATTAATTATGCTGCAAATTATTAATAATTTCTTTATTGCTAGAGAAAATGACTTTGTACTAAAAATACAGAAAAAAACAATACAAGGAACATTTATTTTTCGCACTATAATAGTACTAAAATTCGAAATTAAATTTCTCGAGAGAGGTAGGTAGGCCTGTGCTGTCACCTTCCCCAGTGGGAATTTTCCGAAATATCATAATAATAATCGATCGAAATATCACACGGAAACAGAGAGCGATATCTTTACAACTTCCTCACGTAGAAATGTTGGGCAAAGTCAAGGTTCTCTCTTGTATGCAGCTGGCTATTAAAGTTCAATGCCATGGACGGACGGACGGAAATTATGCCTTTTATTGTTATTTAACACAGTAATATTATACACACGTCGCTGAGATTATTGGTTAACTCGAGAAATGGAGTTCATTTTTCAGTGATCACGTTCTAAAAATGGTCTTTAAAATAGAGGAGTAATTCTGATGTTGCAGTAAACATGTCATATATATTATCACAATTACAAGTGAGATGGGCTGTTGATGACTATTAAGGGAGTCTTATTCAATTGCTTTTAAAAATATACGTAAAATTCTTTTATTTTGAGGAAAAAAAAATCGAGCGTGTTCTATGTTTTAACTATTATAATACATGTCTTATTATTACCACAGCCGAGTTCGTGGATCATTTTAATATTTATTGGCATTGAAATTCAATTAAAATACACGCCTGATCTAATTTTATATAAATAGAAATATATGAATTATGCGTTAATCAATTATAACCATCAGTTGTTCTTCTTCTGTGGATGTCATCCGCTAATGCAATTTGGCAATAATTAAAGCAATTTACTTTTGATTTCTTGTATAGAATAGACTAGATTTCTTGTTTGTTCATTCGTAATGAATCAACTCCAAAGATATTGGTCCATTTGCAAACATTCTTTTACCAATACTGTATACCACTTTATTGGTGAGTAAAATAGACTATGTAATATTAATTATAAGACGGTACCAAGTACTCGTTCATGTTAATATGAATATCATAAAACGTAACACTTCACACTATCTGGACGTTTCCCAAGCCAGCAGAGGTCCCTTTGTGACCTGGTGGTTGCGATATGGCGCTGGCTAGAAATGCACCTTGCTCAACGCCCTTGGCGCTACGTGCAGCGACGGACCGACCGACCGACAGCTTGCACAACTGACCTGATGTTATTAAGAAACTTTGCAACTTCCTTTAGTACACCGAGACACCCGCCGACTATTGAATTGATTCATTGAAATTTTTAATTGAAAATATTGTTTGTTTAGAAACAGATTATTAGTAGTTAGGTTAGCTATTGCGTATGTATCACGATCGGACGACATCGCCTGTCGCAGTCCCCTCATCAAAACTGGGGCTGTTCGGTGCAATTTACTTTGTTAGTTAAATTCTAAGCCTATCTCCTGGTACCTGGGCCTGACTTTTTCAAATAATAGTTTTATTATCTTGGTCTAAGTAAATATATATGTATATAAAACATTTAACTAAAGAATAGTAGAAAATAAATTAAAACTTCTTATCTAAACTATGTCTTAAAATAATAACTATACTAAATAAAAAATGTCTCCCAGATCATTGCCTACAGGTAAGGTACCCAGAAGGCTGCGAGCGCTTCCTCTTTGAATAGCTAAACTAATTCTTCGGGCGAGGTACAAAATAAATACACTAATTTGTCATAGTAATAAATTATTTCAATATTTTAGGCGATGTAATTTTTTTCCCATTTAATATTTATTCAAAGTTTATTATAAATAGGGAAAATATTATTGTTTGCATCGAGGTTCTGAAACCACTGGACCAATAGATTTAGGTACGGTAGGTACGACCATACTCGGGTGGCATAGGCTAGAAGTGTACATACGTCCACATGTAATAATAACTATAATAATAAAATTGCTCTATTAGTTAATTTGTTAACAATATTTTTTAATTAGTGTCTAACTGTGTAACTGTTTGTTACCAAAAAAAATTGGGGCAAGACCAGTGGTCTTGAAATTTTTTAGCAGATAAGTTTATCTGCTATCTCTTACTAGTTCTTCTTTTAGAACTTCTTTATTAAATCCAGGATGCTGTTAATCAACTTGCGGTTGTTGAATTATCTTTTCTAAAAACACGAGCGTGGGTGTTTGTGGCACCTTTGTTGTCTCTTATCTCCATACCACAAGCGCAGTTACTTGCCTTGAAATCGGACTAATGTTCTGATTTCATTTTCTAAATGTAACTATAACCTTAATAGCAACTTCCGATTCTATTTCAACTAATTATTAGGGAAATACCATAATAATTAATAAAATACATGAAAGTCAATTAATCCATAATCTACTGCTTCTTATTTTTGCGCTGGACGATCACATATTGTTTTTGCGCCCAGATTTAATATAAATATATGAAATACTAAATTCATAATAATAGTAAATGAAAACTACAAACTATAAGGAAAGATATAATTACGTGTTTTTATTTATAATAATGAAGGTTCTATGCATAAATAATAACTGACCTTGATTGTGACTCACGGCATTCAAGTTCGGTTTAATCCCAAGCGAATGATCGAGTGGTCACAAAGCGTGGAAAACACGTTACCTTTTTTTATTGAATCACCGTTAGTAGAAATTATTGTTCATAAAAACTTTGACCATTTTGAACGACAAAAAAAAGAGGAAGTACCCTTTTTGGTTAAATTATACCCTGCGAATGTTTTACAGCAATGTGATGCTTTATGAGGTAGGTGCATATGCTTCCTTATTCTTATGTTGAGTGTTGTCCCAATGTTATGAAATACTGTCTAAACTTACAAAGCTTGAATGCAGATGTAAATTTGCGTCCGCTAATTTTGTAGCCCTAATCGTAGCCTGTTCAAAAATAATTGCGATAGTTCCGATTCACCAATCTTAAATGGACAATCAATCAAGAAGGTCCAATCGACAGTGACTTGACGCGCTCTTTTGATTTCTATTTTTTTAATCATAGAAAAAAGCAAATGTAGTTATGATAAATATATGATTAAAAAAACCTATTTTTGTAAATATATTTTTATACAGTCAAGGTGATGTAGTAATCGGTATTAATTAGATATTTTTTTTTCCGGATCTCGCGTGGTCTGAATGTTGTCATGCATTAAATGCCATCGGTGTTTACACTATTGAAATTTTAAAATCAGCAGAGTATGTCAAGTGTTTATTAAAATACAAATAAATGAATGTGTTTATGCACGAATGCTTAACTGCAGATTTCACATAAACAGGCCAAATAAGTAGAATGCATCTTATTTGATACCAGCACCCTCGAGATAACTAAATATTTTGTTACTCATATTTCAGATGAACTATTATAACAAGAAGTCTTCTTTATACATTTATCTGGTTATCGTTCTCCGCAGGCGACTTCTCCCGATGCTTCCAGATGTACAGTACATTAATTGTATTTTTTGCCAATCTACACACTTTAAGTGATGACATCATATTTCGCGTATAAATTTATGCCATTTGAAAGCGAAATTATATATAAAAAAGCGGCTTATTTTAAATGAATAATCATCATTTTAAAGATGAAAAAGGTAAAAAACACATTCTTACATTATATACAATAAAAAAAAACAATAACCCTATCTATAACATACATATTACAAGAGAAAAATACTTTAGTACTATATTTTGTACTAGCTTGAATCTACTGTCAGATCGTACTTGTTGTGAAATGACTAAATATTAAGTATTATGAATAAATTTTATAAATATTTAATTACTTATATATAAAAAGTTTTATCGTATCTTCGTGTTAGTTGTTCTATTTGTGTTAAATGTTTTCAAAACAATAATAAAAATCCCCATTATTAACATATACATTATAGCAAAAAACCTCATAAATTATACTTAACTTTTAAAATATGAAAATTCAAGTGGACGCAATATAGTTAAAGTGGCACGTCGCACCATTAATTTGGTGTGTACGTTATCGAGTGCGTCATCAGTATCGATACGTCTCCGTTTTTATACTTTGGAATTAAGTTGTAAGTTGAGAGCGGTTTGTAACGTATATATCTTATAATACTTCTAACTATACCAAATGTAACCCTGACTAATATGTGACATACTATACTTAATACGACTACAAGCTTAGAAGGCTACAAGTGACGTGAAGTCAAAACTAAGAATACCTTCCAGACGCCAAACAAGGACCGAAGGTTTTTTGAATTGATTTGTGGCCCATCCTTTTCTTTGTTTAAACTGTAATATAAATCATAATTTGACTATTCAGTTCTTTTTCACAAAACGAAACAGTTAAATATTATTGAAAGGTTTAGAAGTCATAAATTGTCTTTTGTTATTATTGAAACAAAGTACAAAGGCAGTGCTGGGATGAATTTTCGACTTTTATCTCTTTTGTATTTGAACAAAACGCGTACTGCGTTTTGTTCTTCGAACAATACAAACCAAAGTATTGTTTCAAGCGCGGTACAATCCTCGCTCTCGCTACCTCGTCCGCTTTTGCCACCCACCGCTCCCTATCTCCCGTGACTGTTCAATGAATGGGAACCGGAGAGTCACGTTCGCAGTTCGAATCTTTAGTTTCACTACAACCACAGGGCGGTGCAGCCGTGGCCAATACCACTGTTGCTAGTGCGAAATGTTAACTTGGCGAGTGTGTTACGGTAGTGCAGTTTACGTTGTTGTGTCGTATTTCGGAGAAAGGTCTTGAAGTCGCTGTGAATGAAAAGGCGTCGAAAGTGTAATATTGGCATTGGATCGTGTTTTTTGTGTATAACATTTTGAAGAAAGTGAAACTGATGTCTAAGATAATTTATTAAATTGGTAGGTGATTTAATTATTTTTATGTGATTCATAAGTTTATATCGAATGAGCACGAGGGAAAATAACACTCATCGGCTTTATGCATATCTAGGGGAACCCTGATACTTTTGCACTTTATCTAGGGGTATATTTTAAAGTGCACTGCACGTGCATATCTGGTATAGTCTAGAAACCAATTTTCCCTTATTACTCAGGTCCGAGTTATTTTGGTGCGGTCGTTTTCCTGATTGATGCGGTAACGCAGGTGCACATTACCCTCGATAAGCTTAATTACTCGTCACACAAACCTGTACGGGCACGTCTACCTGTTTAGTTCAAAGGTATCTGTAACTAAAATTTGAATTCAAAGTCTATTAAGAAAATATTATACTATTAACTGTTCTGGGCAGATCGACTATGAGAAATCCAACTCGTTTCTTCTAATTTACCAGTGGATAGTAATTTAAATATATTTAACAAAATATGTAGATGCTGAATTCGTAACAATATTAGTCATTGACTATTATCCGATAATTCGGTATTAATCATTTAGAATCAAATACTGTCGTACTGATTTCAGATTAATTATTATAAAGTGAGGCGCGAACATAGATTACCATGACTTCTACACACGGATAAAGATATTAAATATGATAACATCTGACGTTTTACTGTATTTAAAGCATATCCTTATCTAACTCTCGAGATTGGATGTTACTGTGAGAACGGTGACGAGTGAATATTGTGCCGTTGCTGCTGTTGGTAATACGCTTTGAAGATTTGCAAAATTGTTTTGTTCATTGGTAGGTAAGTCTTTATAATTGTATAGCGGTTTATGTAATCCTTTTAATTTCGTTTATTTCTCTATTTATTCTTTGAATACTGTTATGCGTCTATTCTATAAATCTAATTTTTTTATATTACTTTTTATTTGCACAGAACCCTCGCCTTCGGTGCGCGAGTCCGACCAGTGTATTCTATTATATCAGCCTCCTATCTTTTTGTAAATTGCAAAAGTCAAAAGTTGTAGTTATTATACAAAAAAAATAGTTATTTTAGTTATCTTTCATATATTCTTAATTAAAATGCTTATAAAATCCCTTCTTTCTCCCTGGCCCTTTAAGATAGGACTCGAACCCATGACCTATTGCAATCCGGACGACTGAGCTACCCAGGACGTAACAGGTCTAACGAATTTGTTATAAGCACTTGTTGTATATAATAATTATCTTTCATATGACATGTAGTTGATCGATTGCTGTTTGAATGTTGAGTAGTTTATTCATGTCGTAATTTAATTTATCATATTGTAACTTTAATCGTGACATATTTTTTATTTCATCTATATCAAAATAAAGATGACGTTCAAAATATGTTTTTGGTTTATGACCTTTAATATAATATTCCGTTTAGAAAATCAAAAGTGTGGAAATATTCTCTTGCATGTCTGGAGCAAAGTTGCTTTTCTTTCTCCGGACTAGGTGTGGACGTAATTTTCCGAAAATTTCGTTTTCTTTATATATGTATTAAAAACTAATTACTCATACCTAAAGACCAACATTTCTGAGGTCCTGGTTTTTAATTTCCAGCTTTATCAACGTAGAGAAGTAACTCATCTATACTGTCTCGTGTTAAAGCGCTGCCTTCGTTATCTTAGTCTACCATAACACAATGGTTGCATCTGATATATTTGAATCACAGTTTAACTGTTTTATTCTCAATTTATTTATTTGTCTTTAAAGTAAAGTCAAAACCAAAATATAAAAAAAAAATTCAAAAAAATAGAAAAAACTGATTCGTTTCCGATAAAATTTAAATGGGACCTAATTGGCCCATTAAACTGTAGAATTATGAAAATCGTATCATAATTGGCAATGTAATAGAGTAACAAACACATTAAACGAATTGAGAACCTCCTCTTTTTTAGTCATTTAAACTAAAATAAAAAATCTTTAGCTTTAGAAAAGCTCTGTTCATTGATAATTGCATCATTACTGAATAATAAATTAATATTTTGAAAAAAATTCATCGATGACACACCATTGTATATTGCATAACGTTTTTACACATACATTCAGTATTTTGCTTATTTTGGATATTTCCTTCCTTAAAATTTGTCTCATATGATAGTGAAAATAGCATTAAACTCCATTACGTGGTTTAGATTCCCTATAAGGAGGTAAACGACTAGGAGTGACTGAGGCGAGAAACTACTTTATTTATACTATGTAATGAATATGTAAATACTCGATTTAACTGTTATCCTATGTTCAACACTGAGTGGTATGTACTTACCTTTAACATTCATTTAAAACTTAGTTATTACACTATCAAGTATCTAACAAAAAGGAATTTACGATAGCGGTATACCAACTGAAATCATTAATACATATATTCATTAAAAAAATAAGGAAAATCTTGTACTTAATATGGGTAACTAATTACAGGCTGGGTCAATTGAAGCGCTTATTTATTGTTTGACGAATTGCCGTTTGCTACTCGTAATTATAGATGTCGAATATAGGCATTCCGAAAGGATGATCGGAAATCTAAAATATAAAATTATATATTAATGTTAAACGGCTGTTTTCAGTCATTTTTTAGATACTAAACTATGATGTGATAATAGTATCCAGCCATTTCTGTAGATCATGAACTGTAGAATTCAGGTCACAATATGTAATATCTACAAAATAAAAAATAAGATGCTGCCTATTATTTTTCTATTGATATTTTTTATTTGTTTATCAGACTTTATGATATGTGATGCTTTATATTTTTTCGATGAATCGTTTTATATTATATGAGTCTCAAGCATCATTGATTCATGACATTATCGATGAAATATTTCATTTAATTTTTCTAAGATAATACTTTAAAATGGGGGAAAACCTGTAATTGGGTTTATTTGAAGACATTAACAAAGTTTTACTTTTTTAGAGGAAAGTATGTGTTGGTAATTCAACAGATTTTTTTTTTTATTAATATTAGGTTCTAATTCTATGATTTTGTATATTTTTATTGACTTAACTACTTTAATGCAAAGTATGTTAGCTTTCTTTATTTAGCTTTCCTAATTGTGTATTACATAAATAAACCAGTACACAGGTAATCTACAGATATTACCAGGAACGAGACCAATGATCATTTCCTATCATTGTCTATGGTATGTACAATCGGAACGACCTTAACATTTGATATGAACACTGTTTCTATGATCACTAGTTCACACTGAAGCTGCGTTTCCTCTTACATTGTCTAGATTTAGTTTTTTTTTTTCAAATATTACATTTTAAGCTAGTGTATTTTTATCCCACTATATCGTCAACGTAAGTTATAGCCTCAGTCGCGTATGTTGCAGCTTTCCATACGTGAAAAAATATTTTTAAACCCGTTCAATGCACAAGTAAATACTATCCGGCATTCTTAAGAACTCATAAACCTCAAATAGATCAATCAGGAGGTTAAAGATTTCAATATACACATCTACACGACAGAAGTTTCTTAATTTGGGGAAAAAAATTGAGTCGTTTATAATATTTTACAGTCCAAAAACCTTGCTCCCACTTCATATCTCGAGTTTTGCGCTTAGCGACACTTAGTATTGTTTGTATTAATCGTCGGTTACTACTTCCAATAACATCGTTTGTTTGTATTTATTATTTACGCGTTGTGTACTAGTCTGTGTCCACTGTCACGCGCCTAGTACATTGCTGGACAAACATTAACCGCCACTTGTATTCCTATCATACTCATACATTCCAACACGAGGTACGATACAACTGCGTTATATTGAATGTAAACAAACCATAAATAGCAATAATACTTTGGAGTCCCACTGAACAAGATAGTCTATAGTAATGAAAATTATAGTAATAAAACCTTGTTGACTTTAGAAATCGCTTTAACTATTGCAAATGCATCGCGTTAAGAGTTAGACATAGCTCTTGTGTTTTGATTTAATTCTATGACGTTTCTCTACTCAATGCTTGAGCCTTTACAATGGTGAAGACATAAGAAACGCAGCAAAACTTTTTAGCTTTAACTCTATGTAAATAACTTTGCCTGAACTCACTGCATCTATTTATATAAGCAATAAGTCAGCATATCACTTTTTGATAATAGCTGTGCGTTAACACATTTTGAAAAAGTGAATCGACATATCCGCGCAGTGAATTGAGTAAGTGCAATGCAATGGTAAATTAAGTGATAACTTTTAATTTTGGAGCTTTTACGTATTTCATACGACTTCAATATCACTGTTCGGTGATAAAAGATTGTCTTTAACAGCAGTCATGCTAGCTGAGAAACAACAGATTCAAGCCTGTTTAGATTCACATTATTCTTATACATGGACGCCGCATTGGCCACAGGGCATTATAAGTATTTATGTAGTTTCAAATGATATATATAATGATAGTTACACATAAAACCCTAGGCTCAAGTCTCTGTTACATTAAGGTCTACATGTAGGTTAGTGCGTAGGTCGATATTAACATACAATGCTACTATACAACTGATATGAATTATATCGACACTATTTCATTTAATTTTAGAGGTCAATGCGATCTCCAATTTGAGTGGAAATGCAATATACTCGTATTACCTATTACGCCATAAGTCGTTAGATTTTGTAGACATCATATTAGACACAGTAATTATTTTCCGTTGATACAAAATTTTGTGCCGTTATATCAAAATCGAAAATATAAAGGAAATCTAAAACAATAGACTTGAAGCACACGTATAGTGAGAAGTATAGAGGGAGACGAATTTTTGAAATTTAGAACTTATGGTGTGGGTTATTGTGAAGATTTCATTGATCATTAGAGAGCCGTGCTTATTACAGAATGTTATGCTGATTGAACTAGCATAACATTCTGTAATAAACTCAGCCTCGAACTCGACCTCGAGCACAGCGCTGTCACCGCGTTGAGGTTCTATTAAATTAGATCTTTACTAGCTTTTGAAGTAAGATTTGATTTATTGATCCCCATGCTGTGACAGCGCTGTTCTCGTCAAATAAAATGCTGATTTTATTGCAGAATAGGATTGTAGGTTCATTTTTAAGGGTATTTTTTTACTTTTACCATTTGACTTTTTTATGAGATTAATAAGCTTTAACGATCAATACTAGAAGTACATAACAAATATTATAATTCATGACAACTGCCGATACAACATCAACTGAAATTTGAATAAAGCCGTTTATAGTGGTTATTTTTTATTTTCAGATGCTGATTTCAACTATCGCCATTTTGTAGTGGCCGCCATCTTGACGACGCAATGTGATAAAGAACTCGACAATGTTGCTGAAATTTTGCAAATCATGCCAGTAGTAAGTAAAAATTAATGGACTAGGATTCATATAATGCTTTTAAATAAAGAGAAATCTGTTCAGAAGCTGGTCGAGATACTCACTTTAGTAGCGCTTGTTTTATACTTGGTACTCAACTATTAAGGTACACGAAAACATAGTAACAATTATCATTAGTTTAGAGAATTGTTGGAAACGTACCATATATACCATCTATCCGATAACTAACTGGATCTAAAATAAAAATAAAAAACATCTATTACATGGTATTACAAGAATATTTGTGATAAAGTAAATGGTAGGTAGTCGTATGTAACTCGCAGTGCGCAACTCTATGCCATGTGTCCAGTATTTTATTAATAAATTACCGAAACCCCTACACAGTCTAACAGCATTTTTTTAAACAAACCAGAATATTGTAGTCTGAAGTAACTGACAGGAATCAAAATATCAGTGTCAATTAATCCAACAATTTATAGAACATGACAGTGACGCATACCTGGATACCAGACTATAAGACAGTTTTATATATTTGCCTATGTTTAGATGTGCTTTAAACACGTGCTTTATTTAATTCGGTTAGGTAAAAGTAAACATTTGTATGTTTGTTGTTGTAATCTGCATATACACAGTTTATATTTTTAAATATAATGAATTAAATAAAAAATTTATTTCTTTGTGATATCAAAATATGTATACATATAGGTTCATTTATGTACATATTTGAGTATAGTATCTTTCAAAATAAACACGAAGCGATATTCTATTTCTGTTCAAAGTGATAAGTCGTCATATGTCCACTTTTGTCGTAAAATGTCAAGTTTTAAGATAAAAGTGACAGATGTTAAGATAAGTGTGGAGATAGGTGCTGCATATCTTAGTTGTTGCTGCTGCTAGGTTCATGTGTCGAAGAATAAAGAACCATTTGAAAGAATATAATTAAAGACTTTAATTTGAAATAAAAAAAATCTTTTAAAAAGTTAATTAAGTGAAATTGCATTCATTTTGATTGAGAAAATATTTCGGTTAAAATTTTGGTTGCGCAATATTTTTATTAAAAAAAAGTATCTTTAAGTATGAAAAAAGTTAACTGTAATAAATCCTTGAGAGTGAGTTACATTTTGGCAGTGTTGATAATTTATCGATCTCAAGTGTTTGTGCAATTCTATCTCGATTACCAAACTTGAGCTGCCGGGAAATGAATAGGAATCCAATAGCGCTTGGATATAAGGTTGATTTTAATTTTGATATATTGTATGAAATCTATCTTGTTGTTTGTTTTCTAGTGTAACAACATCCATACTTCAAAGAACTTAATATTTACTCAGAGAATAAGTAACATATTGCCTGCCGAGTCGTTTCATAAAGTGAAATATCACTTTTTGGATCATTATCATAAATTGTATTAACAGCACCAAGCCATTTTTTTCATTACGAAGATAAAATTTAACGTTTATCCAATTATTCATCATCTGTCTCAGTCTATTAATTTTATTTAAAGTCTACCTGTTTATACATCCCCATTCACATTATTTGTAGCTGATATCTTGTTTGGTTAATTTAAAAAGTTACTCATTAGATAGTTTTTTAACTACACCCATTGAATTTCAATCAATATGCCATGAGTTTTATAGACACGCATACTTAATATTATGTTTAATATTTGTTCTAGCTGCCTGGAGACTATGTACTGGAACTGTTGCGAGGAGAGATTCTGTTTCGATAAGAAGATAGCAACATACAAGTGAGCTTATATTTTTTTGGTCATGTTAAAACTCAACATGGCGTCAAGCAGACGTGTGGATAGTGTTAGAATTGAATCGTGTAGGCTTGCAAGCGGTTGTAGCCGATCCGACTGTTTGTTTTGTCATAAATCAAAGGGTATTTGCCGGTGCCGCAAGCGCGTACGCAGACGCAAGTTTGCGTGCTTATAGACTTTGCGGCAAGTGATAAATATGTGGACGTTATAAATTCAGAATATTATAAAGTAACATATTGGTATGCTCAACTTTTACCTGTAGGGATAGCAAATAATACATAGATAATACAAAACCTTTGATTTCAGTTCAATAAGTCATTAGTTTGAATGGAGGTAGTTTAATAATTCTGTTTCTTTGAGTTACAATATTCATTTCATCACTCAATTACTTTTTATGAATTTAATTGGGAGAACGTTATGTCTAGTGGTGAACTATAATCTAACCTGAACGTAATTGTGTAAATAATTGAATTTCATACAAGTGTCATCTCGACATTCGTTTGAAGTTTGAAGAACTTTGAATTACGCGGTAAGACAAATTATGAAAAGTATTCAGGACGTCAAAGTCAACCTGAAGTAGGTACAAATATCAAAGCAGTGGACGCAAATGAGCTGACGGCAGCAAAAGAAAACTGCAGAATTAAAAAATATATCTACCTAACTAAGACCTAATTAGCTAGCTTTTGACATCTCGCACATATTAACAATAGAAACAATTGACTGAGAGAATTAAGAATGTGAACGAGCCATCTACTTTAGTAGTAGGTATTTCATAATGCAAAATACTTATAGGTACAATAAAGCAAGACAAACTCACATATTGTTACATTTTGTAACGTCTGTCGCTTCATAAATCTTTCATTGTATTCTCCGACAAGAATAATGTACCCTTTCAATCAGTTTTGAAGTCCAACAAAAGGCAAAATAAATAGCAAACCGTTTTGAATGTTCACAATTAAATTACTTAAATCATTTATAATTGCTTACTTACTCCAGTGAATGTATCTATGTACAACGTAATAAGTTATAACAAACTAAATAAATATAGGTATAGAATACTGAACTTATTTTACAACATCCTGAGTAGGAGCGCGGGATGATTTCTTTTAACAAAACCGGAATCCATAATTTACTGAGAAATTATCATAGGCATTTCGATTGTAAAAGGATAATAGATTGGAAAGCAGAATCAAGCAAGAAGAGAAAACGTTCCCGCTCGTATTTTAATTACTATTATCATACAGTGTTAGTGGAAAAATACCAACCCTCACAAGATTAGGTAGCAAACAATAATAACGCATCTTCTATGACTATTCATAATAAATTAAAACTTTATTTAAGAACCACTCGAATGTCAATAACTTTATGTGCATTAATGTCTAATATGGTACATCATACCCTCTATATTTCTATATAAACAAAAGATCATAGGTCTTACTATAAACGACACGTGCTATAAAGAGTTCGTATTTTGTAATTTGAAAAGTAAATGGAACATTTGTTTGTGCATCGTGCAGACTAGAGGAGGACAGTGCACACGTGAACGGTTACTCGAACATGGGCGCGTCTGCGGAGAGCGTGGTGACGTCACAGCCGCTCAACAACAACCACCTGCCGCCCGCCGCCTCGCGGCAGCTCACCGAGATGCCGCTGCACGCGGACAAGCTGTACGAGGTACACCTGATTTTTTGTTTAAATTAATAAATCCGGCTCAGTAGAATTGTCATGAACGTTCTTTTTTGTATTGTATGTGTCCATATTAACTTTATTTAATTTTTGTGTAGTCAAAGTCAAAGTCAAAATAATCTTTATTCAAATAGATTTCTTAAAAGTACTTTTGAATCGTCCAACATTTTTTCCTTACCACTCGTTCAGGACGTCTTTTGGCTGATAAGAAGAACGAGCAAGAAACTCACCAGCTCTAATAAAAGTAATGACATTTACAAAAACCATGTATGTCATTACCAGATCAATACATTATAAACAGAGATAAAAAAAAATAAAAAAACTATGGTCTTATAATAATAACATAATTATTCAATAATAATGGAAACAAGATAATGAGTTTAGAAGTAATCACCTATCCAGTTGCTGGATGATCTCAAGTCCAAGCGTTCTTATCTGTTATATAATCAGATACCTTATAATAAGCCTTTTTAATAAGTATTTTTTTAATAGTAGATTTAAACTGCATGATATCTAATTGTTGTATTTTGCTTGGGACCTTATTGCAGAAGCGCACACAAAGACCCTTGAATGAGTTATTAACTTTTTGCAGTCTAGTGACAGGCACCGTTAATTTATTTTTATTTCTTGTATTAAAATTGTGTACATCACTTTTATAGAAAAAAAACTAATATTTTTACGAACGTACATTAAGTTCTCGTATATGTATTGAGAAGCAACAGTCATAATGTCTATTTCCTTAAATTTCTCCCTTAAAGAGTCCCTAATCCTAAGATTATAAATTGATCGAATTGCTCTTTTCTGAAGCACAAAAATTGTTTGTATGTCGGCAGCATTTCCCCACAATAGGATACCGTACGACATAACACTATGAAAGTAACTGAAGTATACTAATCTGGCAGTATCTATATCAGTTAACCTACGTATCTTCATTACGGCATATGCTGCAGAGCTAAGTCTACTCGACAATCTATCAATATGTGGGCCCCACTGTAGTTTAGAATCTAATGTTATTCCTAAAAATACTGTGGTATCCACAAGGCCCATGTTCTTATCTTTTATATTAACATTTATATCTACTTTTTTAACATTAGGTAGTACAAATTTTAAGCATTTTGTTTTTCCTTCATTAAGGAGAAGATTATTTACATTAAACCAACGTACTACTTTAGCGATAGAATTGTTCACATCGTCATTTAGAGGTAACCCTCTTTTAATTTTAAACAAGAGTGAAGTGTCATCCGCAAACAAAACTATTTCGTGATCATCCCTTACGAAATAAGGCAAGTCATTTATGTAAATCAAAAACAAGAAAGGACCAAGTATTGAGCCCTGCGGAACGTCCATCTTAATTTTTGATCCAGGGGATCTTTTGCCATTGATATCAACCCTCTGTACTCTGTCAGTCAAGTATGAGACAATAAAATCCAATGAGTTATCTCTAAATCCATAAAAATGCAGTTTCCTAATCAATGTTTCATGAAAAACACAATCAAATGCCTTAGATAGGTCATAGAAAACACCTAACGCATCATGTGAATCCTCCCAGGCATTACAAATTTCTTGTATTAACTCGACACCAGCTTCGGTTGTCGAGCGACCCCTTGTAAAACCAAATTGTTGTCGATTCATAAGCTTATTCTTGTAAAAGTACGTTTGTATTTGATCCAGCATGATTTTTTCAAAAATCTTACTAAACGTAGGTAGCACGGATATAGGTCTATAGTTAGTAGGGTCAGATGTGCTACCTGATTTATGTAAAGGAATAATTTTACTTTATTTCATGAGCTCAGGAAAAATACCACAATCAGTACATTCATTAAATATTTATGCTAAGATTGGAGCTATTGTCTCAATTACCGATTTAGAAACTTCAATGGAATTACCCCATAAGTCAGCAGTTTTCGTTTTCTTTAGCTGATTAAAAGATTTTATTATATCTTTAAAATCAATGTGTTGAAACTTAAATTGGCTATTAGAATTATTTAAACTTGCCTTTAAAATAGATTCAGCAACAGTGGAAGAGGAATTCAAAGATTGTGTAATTAAGACTGGAATTTCAGTAAATAAATTTTCAAATACTGTAGCAACTTCAAGATCTGATGTTACTTTTTTATTATCAATGTTTAAATTAAAATTTATATTCCGGGATTTTTCTCTTCCAGTTTCACTATTTATGATATTCCACGTCATTGTAACTTTGTCTTTACTATTTTCAATTTTTGCATTTAAATAATTACATTTGGCTAAACAACACACTTTTTTAAATAATTTAGTACATATTCTTTGAAGTCCTTACTTGTGTTATAATTACGTTCATCATATAGTTCATAGAGCCTTTTTCTGCTTTTGTAGATTCCTGGTGTAGCCCACCATATTATTGAATTCTCTATAATCTATATCATCATAACTCTCCGGTTAACTGGTAGAGAAAGCCTACCAGAGTAAGTCCGCCATTGGTACGATTTTTTTTTGTGCAAAGAAGTTAAAAAAACCATTGGAACCGTTTGAAAGATGGGTATTTTTGTTTTTAATACGAATTTATTTATTATTTAAATTTTCTTAATGAAAATACTGAAAAACGAAATAAAATTATACAATTTATTGAATTGCCTTCAAATTACTAGTTCATATATACCAAAAAAGGAAAACCAAAAGGTGAAGGAAAACCATTTGCATTATTTTACCTAAAAAATCTGATGTAACTAATGCGATTCTCGCTTTTTGATTTTCAGGTATTCTCCAAATCGTTGATATTCAGAGACGACCATGAGCTGAAAAAAAATAGCACGGATTCCCTCGACGAACTGGAAACTAAATCAGAACCTGACTACTTAGACAAACCCAACCGGACCAAAGTTTATTTCGAAGACGAAGTCAACTCGCCGGTCACCGACTTCGAAATCATGTTCAAAGACGAACTCCTCGCCGACTACGGCATGTTCAAGATCGACGAAGAAGAGGAAGCGGAGAGAAAGAGTTCCGACGGAGAAGAGGGGCTGACTATGAACGTGGTCACTGTCAAGAAGCAAGACGTGGTCAAACCCAGTACGGTGACGATGAAGAATGAAGACAAAATCACGATACACCACCCGATATACAAATACGACCCTATATCCGTCGTCGCTCTACCCTCCACTCTCAGTTTACCGAGAGTCGAAAACGTCAAAGGTATACTCAGAAGTAACAGTGCTAAAGGTTTAGAGAGAGTCGACAGCGTCAACAAGCCGTCTAGACCTGTCCTGAATAGAGTGGAAAGTTTGAAAAGTATAGATCCGCAGAAAATTAACAAAGTGCTAGCCAGAGTCCCGCATAGGAGCGCTTCTTTTCTAAATATACCGGTACATTTGACCCCAGAAAAACCTCCACTGATGAAATCCAAATCCGTAGTGGGAGTGCTGTCATCGGCCGACAGTGAAATTAAACTGAGTAGTCTTCCAGACACGCCTATAATCAAGAGTACCAATCTGCCGAGGTTCTTCGCCGACAGTCCGGCTATACCCGAATACAGAGGCGACACGACACTTCAAAGTATAAAAATGAAAACAGAACTGATGTTCCAAGAGAACGACTTCAGTATGCCGCGGTACTACGGCGCGGTCCACGAGAGCAAGTCCATGCCGGACCTGAGGGGTCCGCTCGCGCAGGGGAAAGTCAGCAAACGATTGGTGAAGCTGAGGGGACGTTTGAAACCTTTAGTTATAAGGAAAAGTTCGGAGGAAAGACTTTGAGTGTTGACCTATAGTATTCCTTTACATAAAGACGTTTATTAATATTAAACTTTGACTATATAGAACCCACCAAGGAAGCTTACTGAAATAGAAAATATTTTTATCAAATTGATTAATGAAATAACACACTTTTGGATAATACGACAATGAAGTAATCATTTTATAAAAAATATCTTACTTTAACCTACAAGGTACGGTCCTCAAATGACTTTTGTTTCCTTGACGTTTATTATTCTTTTCATATACATTCTTCATAAGTTTCTATGCTTTCTAACATCTTCAAACTTTAGATACAATAAATTGAATGGCAAATGTCTTTCTTTGCGTCGATTTAATCAGTTATTCACGGCTATTATTAGTACTTTAAGTTAATTACCTACTTAATAAAGTGATTATTGCGTATATCGAAAGGACGTCGTTCCTATTACACAGTATTTATTGCTCAAACGCTGTACCTAGACAATTGTGATTTTAAAATAATTAAAATTAAGTTTTAAAATAAGTATTATTATTATTATCATCGCGATGTGTTGTAAGCATTCTAGTCATATCACATCACTTAATTTTAACTTAATTAATCGTATCCTTACCAAATTTTGTTATATATGAGATATGAGTATGATCATATTTTATCAATAGTATTTTTACATTTACTATTTTAAACGATTGTTTTAATTTAAGAGAATTTTCATCTAAATAAGTGTTTGTAATTATCCATATTAAGATCTGCCAAAATATCATAATAACTAGATTGTTTATAAATTCACATAATACTTTTTTGTGCCTTCGAATTATAAACAATGAGACTAATACAATATGTAATTAAAGAACTATTCTTATATAATAAATGACCAAAACAATAGTTTGTTTCACTTTATAATACATTGCTTTTAAAAATACATAGTATCTATCGAAGACTGAATAATTGCTAATTATTAAAAAATATGTTAGTCTTCCATTGTTCATAGACTATCTATATTATTTAATTGCTTAACCAATTTCTTGAAATCCGATATTCTACCCTCATTATAGCAAACGTTCTGGTATATTTCCCGAAATTGACTTATTCACTGCGTTTTAGTTTTCTGCGTTTTAATTTTTAATAATGCCGTTAAATTTCATATACATACATTCACACAGCAGTACGAAGGGTATTATTTCTATGTAACTTGCATTCAATCAGCCCGACAGTCTTCTGACTGTGATTGCAGACCTGTCGTGATGGTTCGACGCACATCTACATACTTTACGTCCAGTTGCACAAATGTTAATTACAGTTTAAGGACAACTTTAAGCTCTAATGGATATTTAAAATTAGCAAATTTGTATGGGTTATGGTGTTTTTGCAACGGTCATTAAGTATGTCACAATTTTCGCAAATTAAAATTAAATAATGCACTTATTGAGTAATAACAATTTCTACTGTAACTCTATCTTCGCCAGGGGACTTACCGTTTGACAATAAACGAATTGAATTGAATTAAATTAACAAACATTGCACACAATTCCCATTGCAGTCGGGGGACCGAGCTGCGGCACGTTTGACACAATCTAAGAGGTGCCCAGACCCCAATGAGCATTTTGTTTAGCTACCTATTGTCTATTATTTTTCTTTAATTTTTAGTTCCATTTCGCCAGTTGGTTATTTTTTTTTAATATGTATTGAAATTGAATATTATCTCTATGTTGAAAGATATATGGTAGTGTGTTTCGTAAATACGCAAATAAAACCACCTTTATATAACAGTAACTCAGTCTATACAGGAGGAAAATATGAATGAAACAACAGATTTAGTTAAAAAAGCGCACAGTTTATTACTGAGCCACTATATCATATTACTTTACATATTTTATATAATAATAATAAGTATATAAGTAACGTTAGGTATAATCAACTGTATTCTATCTGCATGTGGACTACGGAACGGTCAGACGGTTTGATCAAACTGTATGTGTTTCGTTAAATCTTTTGGAGGGCCGTCGTAGCTCTCTCCTCCGTCGGAATTGATGTCTGAAAATTGTACCAAACTTGTTTCATAATTTCGAGTCAAACCAAATCCACGCGTTTGAAACAAACCGTTCCACCGCACCGAGGCCCAATCTTTTACGTTGTTTAATGTTATTTACTTTGAATATCAAATCCCTACTTTCAGTGCAGGCAACTATAGAACTTAAACATAATGCTGATACAGATCTCTATCGCATCATTATAATCTCAGCCGACGATTATGGCTATTAAATTGCACCTAAATCTATATCTAACAAAAGTTTAATAATAGTAGGATTCTGCAAATTGCGGTACCTTCCAAGTCTGTTACTTCACCGATTCACACGGATTGTTATTACTTGAATACTTCTCGAGTCAAGAATAACTACAAAGTACGTGTATCCCAATATAAATTCTATAATGATATAACATCACTTCGTTGAGTAGGTATTTAATTTTCAATTATTTCTTACAGATCTTTTTATTCAATTTGTGATTATAATTCACAGTGATGACGAAAGTGACATTCTAGATACACCTATGTTTACCAACAGGAAATTATTTTATTTTTACTTTGATTTAAAATAACTTTGCCCCGACTGATCGCTGACAGGATATCTGTAAACCAGATCGCATTAAATATTTTTATTATTTTACTCATTGTATGTCGTCACTCCAGACATATTTTTAAAGAAGTAAAACGCTACATCCGCTGCGTAGCTCTTTTGCACTTAGAGCACTTATCTACTGCATATCTGAAAGTTTTTTGACAATTGGAGTGGAGTGTTACAGATATTATATCGCTAAGGATTCGGCTTATATCCTATATTTATTAAATATATATAAATATATATTTAAAAAGCGCTAAGGTTTCTTTGTTCAATCTGTCCATTGTTGTACCATCTAATATGTTCAATCTGTCCATTGTTGTACCAACTAGAAAAAAACATAATTTTGTTTCTAGTGCTTTTAATTATTCGAATAACTAATTCTTCTAAACAATTTTCTATAGCGAGAATAGAAATTATATCTAGGAATATTGACAAGGATTTACAAATCACACTTAGAAAATACGCTTTAAATAATTATAAGTTAACTAATTTTAGATCACAAGATGTCTACAATAGTTATTATAAAAGATTTCTTTAAATAACATTTCTACTTTCAGGAAACACTGTTATTTAATATATTTAGGAATAAAGTTATTTTCAACATTACAATAAACGAATATAAGGTACTTTAATAAAACACTCACATTATTTTTTTCTTAAATATATAATTAAATAGCACTAAATACAATTAAGATTATATAATATTTCCAATATAATACATATTAATTTATTCCATTCTCTATAATCATATGGCACGATTGTGTATAGTTCGGTTTTTAAGACAAATTTATTTTGTTTCGTTTTCTTCTCTTACTTTGGAATTATCAGTAAATCAAATATAAAGTCACATCAAAAGCTGCATAAAAGTTTTGTATATCCAAAATTAAATATTAATATTATATAATTTTCAGGCCATGATCTAATTTGTTTAAGTATTTTTCTAACTATAACACTAATGATTAAATCTAAGGTAACATTAAAGAAAAAAGACACTTTTTACACTTTACAATGATTTAGAATTATGCTACGCAATCCTTTGTTTTAAATGCATTAATTATTATAACTTTATGATAGGAATTGGCTTTTTACTATAGAAATATTTTAGCACAATTATAATTATAAAATTTTAATTACTGCAATTTATATTGTAACCCTCAACCGCAGACTTCTAAGATAAATTTAAACTAGGTACAATTATATATAAAATTACTAATTTTCCTAAAACTGGACCAAATTTTCCAACCAAATATACATGTTTTTATTGGTCAAGAAAGCATATTTTAAGTTATCTCTTTGAATTACATTAGGAAAATAATTTATTCGTTTTTAGTTTTCATTCAGACAAAAGTCTTACCTAGTCTAATTTACCAATAATGATCGATTATAATAAAGTCTCACTATAGGATTTTCTAGAATTATTCTAGATTATTCCATTTTCATTTGTATCTTAATGTTTATATAGTTGTATTTATTTATCATTTCTAGCATCCTATTCGTGGTGTAGATATAATTGGAGTATGAAGCCTAATACTACATAATTTAAAAGGCAATTTTATAGAAAATACTAAAACTATGTTGATAATTCAACATTAAAATGTTGCCTGGCGATGTTTGCTGTCCTACCAATATTTATGAACGCTATGACAAAGAAGCTGTAAGGATGAAAGTCCACTAACGTCCACGCACACATGGAACGGATTTTCCAAAGCTTTGTATGAATTTGTACAGTACTTCGTCCACTATCTTTCCGACCGCACCGACAGTACGCATGTTATGAATAAAGAGATAATAGATAATTTCCATAGAGCCACTACACGTCACTTGACAGCGTTATGATAAAACTGTCAAGCGGTTACTAAATACTCCTATTTATAATCCGGATGCAGTGAACGTATTACATCGGCAAATCCGTTGCGTGCGTGCGGACACAGTGGAAGTTCTTTTAGTGTCAGTTACATCTGGCCGGCACCACGTAGCGCCACGGACGCATAGGTAATAGTTTTTATACACTTGCTCGACACCCTAGGATATTGAATAATAATATATGAACCCGTCCATCCTGGACGTGGTGTGGACGAGGACTTTATGTAACTGACGCTCTAGTTGCAGCGGATGTTGCAAGATGTCAAAGGTAAACTATAGTCCCATATTTTCAAAACTTTTTTGAATAAATAATTGTGAACGAAAGCAAATATTACATTCGGATATATATGTATAAAACCGATACAGATATCGCTAGTTTATTTACGATTGAGTAGCAGTATGTAATAGTTCAGAGTATTTTAAACGAAACTGTTTATGCCAAATGCCATCTAACATTCAGCTAAATACTGAAATAATCTTATTCGCTACAACCAAGGGTCATTCCGGCCTAGCATTAAAACAATTAAGCGATATTTTATAAATTATAGAAATATTAAACGCTACAGCTCTAAGAAATACTGAACCTTATGCAATATAAAGAAACGCTAAAACAGCTAATTTTTCTTAATTTCGGAAATTTTACACATTAGCAATAAATAGATGATTTTCAAAATTATTGTAACTGTAAAATTAAAAAAAGATAAAAGTCACTAAATATCGTACATTGAATATTTTTTCTAGATTAAAAATTTTCGTCGTACGTAACCATTTATAACATTTTCTATGGCTTCCTCATTAAAGTTACTGCTTTGAAATAATAGATTATTTATTGTCTGTTCACTTGACTAAAATTTTTCAGTCAAAAAATGACCAGTGCATTGCTAAAGTATTTTGGCCCAAAGATAACTTTACTATAATCTAATCCTAAGATGTTCAAATCTAAGTTCATTAAAATTGCATTTAAAAATAATATAACAATGAAATATCCATTATGATTACGATGCTGTGTTTTACGTTAATATTTGATACTTTTCAATATGTTTGATATTGTGTTACAATCAGTTTGTTTTATTATTATAATATTTCATAAATATGTTTTTTTAGAAAGTGTTGAATTATACCATAGTAGTCAAATAAAGATGGTAACAGGTAAATTACTAATAAAAATGAAAACAAACCAATACAAAAAAAAAATAGTTTTTTAAAATATGTAGGTATACTGAAATTATGTAAGGTTTTTAGGGTTTCGTTCCCAAATTATTATTTCAGTTTCATTCTGAAACGTGTAGCGATCACCCGTCGACTCTGTCTATCGACTCGACTACTCGGGATAGTCTTCGAATAGTCTACCTAACGATATCCAATAAAATTAATCTATCTGACACCTTGAAT